GCCTAGGAAATAAGAGAAACAAGAAAACGACACGAACATCGCTTGGTGGAGGTGGACACTAGTCGCCAACAGGAGTATGAATCCAAAATGACTCAGGCCCTGGAGGATCTGCGCAATCAGCACGATGAGCAAGTCAAACTGTACAAAATGGAGCTGGAGCAGACCTACCAGGCTAAGGTAACTGCTGGCCACAGCTTTTCTGACAGCAAGCCCAGCTGGTGAGAGAAAACAGTTTCCATCAGCCCTACTGCCTTAAGGAGACAAGTAATGATTCTTTGAAGAAGCTTTGTCCCAGTGTTCAAACGCCTCCTCTGGTGCCTGTGTGCAGATGCATTTCCAGGGAGTCTATAGCCAGAGATGATAGGTAGGAACAGCTTTAGCCAAGAAAGGCCAGTTTGGGAGAAAACACATGGAGGCGTGGGTCACTGCAGAGGACGCAGTGGGGATACAGATGTCACATGATAGCTGATTAGACAATGTCTGCTGCTGTGAGGGGTTTTCTTCTTGAAGTCAGTATGCCCAGTTCCTCCTCCAGCATGGAGTCATTGGAGGAAACTTGCAATAGATGCAATATGTTGGCTTCGAGAAGTTGGAGGAATGGGTTGGAGAGCTCTGGGAATGGTTGCATTTTGATAAGGGCTCTTGCCTGGATGCAGTGAGCTCACAAACTAACACGGACACACAGAGGCTCCATGTTTAGGGTTGCGTTATCACTTCACTCTTCCTGTGGCCTTTGCAATGTTCTTACTAACCACAGTAAATGTGTGTAGGCCTTACCACATTTCAGTGATTGAAGTTAGTTCTGGATTGGATTATCACTAGATGCAGTTGCATCTCTGAGGATGTGAGGCCTGCAGCTCCTTGGTCAGCCTGAACCACAGTACAGTGAGGAGTCAAGTGTATCTGTCACACCTGAGTTAGCAAATCTCAGTTCATCCAGCACTGGGGACATGGGAACAGTAGCAGCTTTGGTATTGGTACAGTTGCTGACTACAGGTTGGTTTGGTTCGTGATTTATCTTTTTTTAAATTCATTGCACTACCTGAAGAAACTGGGCAGCTGCCACTTTTCTGGTAATTGAAAATACTTGCCAATAATTACAGCCACTTCCGCTTCTCTTGCGGTGGAGAAATTACGGTTCTCTCTCACTCTTCACTGTGACTTCCTTTAAATTCTTTGGTTTGATGATTTACAGTGTGAGAAGCATTGATCTACAAATATTTAACTATTTTTTTTGTGGCAGCGACAATACAGATAATGGATACTAAAAACCAAAATCAGGTACAGTTAGGAGTCTTGGCATTATTCACAGAAGTTAGGAACATATGATATTTTTATACAGTGAGGTATTTGGATTGACTTGTCACACACGGTCCAAGAGCATCCAGGGCAGAAAATGCCGAGCAGGAAAAGAAAAAGGAGAATGGAAATGTGACAAGATTTGAACAGGAGGATGAACAAATTAAGCTGCTTTTTCCTCACATATGAAATGGTTGTTTTATGGATGAAGTTGGAATGCAAAGGGAAAAATGGGCTTAGCGGCGAGCTTCATTCTGTGGATTTCTGGATAAAGGCGTGTCCCTGCTGAGAAAGCCTGAGCTGTTCAGGATTAAGTTTAGCCACTGAGCTCCTGCGGGATGAGAGGGTCTTGAGTGAAAGCTCACTTCTTGCTCTCCAATGATCTATGATAATGAGCAATAGAAATTCTAAATCTGAGGATTTGGCTCTACTCACATAATTTTTAATTTTAAACTTTACAAGAAGGAATGGAGTATATATTTGACTTGAAGTTCCTTCAAAACCCGTAGCCTAAAGGTGGCTTTATGTGTTTTCTCCCCTGTTCAGAACCTTGTGAACAGCAGAGCTAATGAAGATTGGGTTTATAAAGCTTTTGTGCTGTGTGAACATGTTTTGCTCTGAGAATTGGGGCAGTTTTGTTCCTGGATGGATGCAGAATTGAACACCAGCTGCAAGGCATGAAAAGGAAGGATGGTTTTGCCAACCATCTACTTTGATAAATTTTATCATGCAATAGCTTAGAGCTCCATTGTTGCTCTGTCTGATTTGGTTAAAATGAGCTCCTAGAAATGAATTTTGTTCACTAGGTGAACTGAACAAAAAATGAGTTACTTTTCAGTAGAAGTCAGGACAGTGAAAGTACAGTGGCAGATCTGGAAGAAACAAAAGACTTGTTCTTCATTTATATATAGCTAAACTTGCCCCATAAATTCAAAAGGCACAGACAAATTATCCTGCCTGAAAAACCCACTGAGAGATGGTAAGCATCAATAGTCTCTGGCTTGGGAAGTCCCTGAGTTGCAAAAGGCCAAGCTGAGACAAAATACCCATGAAACATTTTATTGAGCTTAATCTCTGGGCATCCAGGGAACTGTTAGACCAGGGTGGGAACGAGGCAGCCTTTGCTCTGACCCAGTGTGTACGTACGACAAACAGGCAGAGTGTGATTGCATGAACCTTGGGTTTTGGAAACTATAAGGCTACTTGTATAATGGAAGGCCTGATAGATTTATATTTGTAATAGTATAAGCAAATCCTATAGGAACAGGATTAAAAGACTTTCCTGGCCCTCAGGGCATTTTCTTAATGTTATGCAGTACTTAAATTAAACTTAACAGATTTCCATTTAAAATTATTAAAGATAGCTAATTAAGATAGCTTCTATTTTTTATAAAATGGATGTTTGCAGGATATCTAACTCAATGCAAGTGACTTGTATAAAACTTGTCTTCCAGCTGGAGAATGCCAAACTGTCCTCCGACCAAAATGACAAAGCTGCAGGTGCAGCTCGAGAGGAGTTGAAGGAGGCTCGCATGAGAATAGAAGCTCTCAGCTACCAGCTTTCTGGCCTCCAGAAACAGGTAAAGAGACTAAATTTGCTTTCATCTCTAAGACAGAGTGCTGTATTGTTTGGATATCTTAACATTTCTGTGCTTTCATAGTTTATGAATTTTATGGGGAGAAATCTTTATGTTCATGTAGGAGGGAGATGAATTTTTAACTTTTTTACTGTACTCACATAGATGCTAACTGGGTTTTCCACTGTGCTGTCTACCTAGGCTAGTGCAGCAGAGGATCGCATTCATGAGTTGGAGGAAATGATGGCTGCTGAGCGGGAAAAGTTTAGGAAGATGCTAGATGCAAAGGAGAGGGAAATGACAGACATGAGGGACCAGATGCAGCAGCAGCTTACAGAGTACCAGGAGCTGCTTGATGTTAAATTAGCACTGGACATGGAGATCAGTGCTTACCGAAAACTCCTGGAAGGAGAAGAAGAAAGGTATGTACAGACTTCACATTCTTTTCTTAGGAATAGCAGATGTTATTTTAATTTATAATGCTTACTTTTTTACTGTTTGAGCAGGAGTGCCCAGATTTTGTTTCACTGAAGTCATATTGGCTTCACACCATGGTGTGTTGCATGGAGCACTTGCAGGTGTCCTCATCTGAACACTTTATTTTGGTTTTGATAACGGTCTGAGGGTACAGTGGAATATATCATTCTGGGCTTGACATTAATTTCCTTTTTTATTTAAGTGCTTATACTTCTGTGTTTTCCTGTTTTTAAACTATGTGGCCCAAGAATAGTGTTTAGTAGGAGATATACTAGGGGGGATGTTTAAGAGATCTGTGTTTCTTTCATTATCACCGCTTTCATGTCACAGAACTGAATGTCTTGGGGATGGAGAGCCTGTCCTCTTACACACAGTTCTCCTGACACACACAGTGAGGCTGCTTTCAGCCTTGGGGAATGTTACGGTCTGGTTACAGAGTATATTGTAGCATTTTTGCTTTGTGTGTGGTTCTCTGGATAAGCTAATTAAAATGCTGGCTTCATTGTGTTAAAAGGTTGAAGCTCTCTCCAAGTCCGGCCTCCCGTGTCACAGTCTCTCGGGCTACCTCCAGCAGCAGCAGTAGCAGCACTTCACTTGTTCGCTCTTCCCGAGGCAAGAGAAAACGCATTGAAGCGGAGGAGCTTTCAGGAACGAGCGGGATTGGCACTGGAAGTATCAGTGGCAGCAGTAGCAGCAGTAGCTTCCAGATGTCCCAGCAAGCTTCGGCTACAGGAAGTATCAGCATAGAAGAGATAGACCTGGAGGGCAAATATGTTCAGCTGAAGAACAACTCTGAGAAGGTGAGTGTCAGCAGAATGATAAAACGAGGAGGAGGAGCTGAGCTGAAATGTTACACAGCTTTTTGTAGCAGGAGTAGGTGGAGTCAGTTCAGGAGCAGGAGCAACACCTCAAGGTGCAGCACCCTGCAACAATAAACAGGGGCATTTGGAAGGGGAATGTCAGTGTGCTGCAGGAGTGAATGGCTGCTGCAGGAGGAGGGCATGGTGTGTGTCCCAGGTGTCTCAACATGAGTGCTGATACCTTGCTCATGTGAACAGCCTTGCTGGCTCCAGCAGAACAGTTCTGTGTGAATTGTGTCTCTTTAAATTTTGCTGAATGACACTTCAGATTAGTGCTGGTTATAGAAAACCACTTTCAAGTTAGAATGCAGATGTCTAACCACCATGTAAATAAATTTATATTTACATTATTGTAATAACAAAGAGACCTAGAGAAAGCTCTGATGCTTGTTTGCCCTGTTTTGCTCACCTTAAATAACCTCATGATTCTCTCCATTAGGATCAGTCTTTGGGTAACTGGAGACTGAAAAGACAAATTGGAGATGGAGAAGAAATTGCTTACAAATTTACTCCTAAGTATGTCCTCAGAGCTGGGCAGACTGTCACAGTAAGTTTTATTTCCAGTGTGTCTGAACATATTCTTCTGTTGGTGCTGTGGCAGTTGTAAATCTGACATTTGGTACAGCCTGATTTAGGGTGTGCGTATAACTTCTGGTTTCATAGATCTCGCTTTAGAGGAACAGGATTTCGGTTACAAAAATGCAGAAATTGAATTTCTCTATTAGCATGTCAATATTTAAGACCATTTTGGGCAGAGAGAAAGTTGAAGAAAAAGGTATTTTAGGGGGTGGGTCAAGGGCTTTTTGTTTTCAAACACCTTTTCCCAGGTTTGGAACATGAATCCTGCTCAACCTCTTAATGAAATAAGAGCATTCGTTCAGTCTAGTAGACTTTAGCTAAGTTTAAGAGTGGCTGTTCTCAGCTTTAACTATAGTAGAACAGCTGCTTTTCTGTAATTTTGTGTTTTATTTTCAGTCTGCAACAGTTGTTCTTTCAGAAGGAAAAAAATGGCTTTCTTTTAATCAGTTCCAGCTATTTCCACTCAAGTATCAATTGCTCAGATACATAGAGAAGATGAAATTGCACTACAAGCTACATTTGATGGCTTGGCTCCATACAGTTACAGTCTTGAGACAGTGGTAGGAAAAATTTGTGTATTCAAAAATAATTGGTGACTGCAATATCGGGTATCTTTTCCTCTTGGGTTTTGTGGGGTTTTTATGGCTAGTGTTACTTTTTGTTGTAGACTGAGAATAATATGTTACTGCAAGTAATGGCGTAGGTAAAAACTGGGTAAAACTGCCCTTGGAATTCAGAAACAAAACTGGTTTGTAGAGAGAAGCAGGAGAAGAAATAGGAGGTTCCTGTATACTTAAATAGAAAATGTACATAAATTGCTAATTACAGAATGTCTTTCTCACTAGATTTGGGGTGCAGATGCAGGCGTATCTCATAGCCCCCCTTCTGTTCTCGTATGGAAGAATCAAGGCAGCTGGGGCACTGGAGCAAATATCCGCACATACCTCGTGAACTCTGAAGGAGAGGTAGGCTGTGTCTGCAGGAAAAAGTGCTGTGGGCTGGGTTATCTCCCAGACTCTTAATTTGGGCATGGGGGACAATGACAAAATCCTGATTTTAAGATCTCCCTTATTGTCTTCTAAAATAAGACAGTTTATAACACTGAAATAATTAAATATTCGTATGTATGTCTGAGATTTTGGGGAAATTTTGGAAAATTGCGATCATCATCCTGATTACTTCCATAGACTTTTTTTCCCTCCTATTTTAGAAAAACACCCTGGTAGTTGAGAATTTGTTTGGAATTAGAGTACGTGTTTTCAGGAGAAGCAAATTTACACTATGTAGTACCTACAGTATTCTGGGGTGCAGTGTAAATATTAGTGTAGGTAGATAGCTGTCCTTGTTGGAAGCATGTCAGAAGTTCTCATTTGGCACCAGTTCCTGTGTATTTTGCGTTGTCCCCATCTGCCCACAACTGCTGTTTTTGAAACCATCCCTGCAGAAGACTCCTGCAAGGGAGGATCGTGCTTTGGCTGTTACTCATAAATGTGCCATTATCCCAGTGATGTGATAGAAATAGGAAAGTGAAGCAGATCACAGCTGTATCAGTTTTCATGCTGCCTTTCTTGCTGGCAATTCTGCAGAAGCACTGTGCAGTAACAGCAGCACGGGACAAGGTAGGAGGGAGGGTTGTTTGTACAAGTAGAAACCTTACTGGCTTTGTACTCAAAGTGGTTAAACTAGCATCTGAAAAAGTGTCAAATCCATGTCTGTTCCCACCGAGGTGACCTTTAGTATCCCTGCTTAGATGTGTATGTTTAAGTGACTTATTCCACAAGTAGGATGTGTCTCAGACAGCTCCAAGCTGGGTCTGCTGTCATCTTGTATAAAATGGACTAACAACCACCTGAAACACAGCTGCCTCCTCTCAAATCCCTAGGTAATGAAAGAGAATTCCTGAAGCTAAATTACATTGCCATGCCTTTTAGTGGAATAAAATAGGAATGTTGTTGAGGGTTGCAGGATTTTACCAGTATTTGCTTGCATAGCTAACAAATCTAGGGCAAGTTGCTCTAAACCCTCCAAAACTTAATAGACGTATTATATTAATGGTATAGCAAAAACTTGAGAGAGATGTGAGGCCATCTCCTTATCTCCTTATCTGTCATTTTGTGTAGGAAGTTGCAGTGAGAACTGTAACTAAATCAGTAGTTGTGCGAGAGAACGAAGAGGAAGAGGATGAAGCAGAGTTTGGAGAGGAAGACCTTTTCAACCAACAGGTAATAAAAGATGCAGACCAGATGTTCAGCTCATGCCTCATTTGTTGGATTAATCAGAATTTAGGGGCCTCCCTTCAACTTTTGCCAGCTCTGAGCTTTGTGGTCCATTTTCCCCATGGATGCTTGCAGAGTCCAGTCTTGGCATGGCTTGGAGCCCTACAGCACTACTGCAGTGCACAGAGAGAGCATCATGTGAGCGATTCTTCCAAAACTTGCTGCTTGAGTCAGTCACAGTACAGCTCAAGCAGTGGCAATGTCAGGTCGGGATGCCAGGGTATCTACAAAAGTATGCAACAGATCACAGATTTACAGCATTGCAATGATATTGATTATTTTTAGGGTTAGTAAGTTTAGTTTTAGCAGTCAGTGTTCCTCCCATTCCAGTATTTCCTTCTCTGTGTGTGTATGTGTATGTATATATATATATATAT